ACACACACACACACATATATATATATATATACACACACACACAAATAATATGTGTGTATGTATATATGAGCGACACCGCACACTCTACATGCATGTATATAGTAGTATATAGACTTTTTAAATATCTAGAATCCTGTGAAAAACTAAGAACAGCCTTACTGCTTCCATAGGATTTAAGGGGGGGAATAGCAGCCAGCTTCTTGAACAATGATTAATCAGAAGGTTCGTCCTGCTCTATCAAAGCACATGTTGTGGAAAATTGTTTCGTCTGGGGCCTTCAGGTGTTTACACAATGGCTCAGGTTTCCCAGGAATGGCCATTCCAGTAAATTCAATCGCTTGTAAAGCTCAAAGAATTTGTAAAAACCCATGAGCGACACTCTACAGGCTTTAGTTGGGTTGTTAAAATTCTTGACAATAGAATTAGAAGAAGACTGAACAAGTGTGTCTTTTTTGGAAGAGTTTACAAGAGAAATCCTATTCTCTCTCTAAAAAAAACAACTTAACAGCACAACATGGGTTTATGTAATAGTTCTGAACAAAGTATAAGGCTTCTGAAACGTGTCCTTCAGCACCATATGTGGAGAAAACCAAATACAGCATATCAGCAAAAACACCTCACGCCAGCTGTCATCAGTGTGGTGGTGGAGGGGTGATGATTTGGGCTTTTTAGCAGCCATAGAATCTGTGCACCTGTCATTGAGTTGCCATGAACTCCCCTCTATACCAGTGTATGCCAGAGTCAAATGCAAGGCCACACATCTGACAGCGAAAGCTTGGCAGAAATTGGGGCATGTAACAGGGCTGTGATCCCAAGCATAGCAACAAATTTACAACATAATGGCTGAAAAAGAAAGAAAATTGAGCCATTTCAGTGGCCCAAAGTCCAGATCTCAACCTAATTTAATTGCTGTGGTGTGATTTTTAACACAGCTCTGCATGAATGAATCCTCACAAACCTCAATGAATTAAAGCAATACTATAAATATGAGTGGGCCAAAATTCCTCTACAGCAATGTGAGAGACTAATAAAGCCATATATGAAAGGATTATTTCAAGTTACTGCTGCCAAAGGTGGTTCTGTTGCTATTATTTCATGGGGTTTACATTTTCATTACTGTATTAAATTACACAAAAACAGGAAGTGGGGAAACCCCTCCCCCAAACCTTATATGCTACATGAAAAATGACTTCTACCTACAGCTTCCTATTTAATGAACAGACACAGGAGTGGAATCTGTCTCAGCAAGAAAGCAATGATCAACAAGTGACCTTAATGTAGAGGATTGAAATAATATTACATAAAATGACAGATGTTCCTACATTATTATCCATAATAATGAAACTTTCATTATTTAGGATGATTTTGGCGAAAACCCTGGGAGGAAATGGCTGAATGGCTTTTTGTACAGTGACAAACAGGAAGAAGGGAGCGATGAGGAGGAACATGACAAAGAATGCGAAGAAACAGATCCACTCCACGGTGGGAAATTTGTGGATACCTTTCGCTTTTTCCACCCAACACGCATCAACGCCTTTACATGCTGGTCTACTCTCACTGGAGCTCGGCAGACCAACTATGGAACACGCATTGACTACATATTTGCTGACTGCCAGCTTGCCAAGGAGCAGTTCGTGGGAGCCGACATCATGCCAGAGGTGGAGGGTTCAGACCACTGCCCTGTCTGGGGGCAGCTGAGCTGTTCACTCATTTCTAGCCCAAAGCCTCCCCCCTTCTGTACTCGCTACCTGCCAGAGTTTGCAGGTAAACAGCAGAAACTCTCACGCTTCCTCGTTAAGGTGGACCAAAAATCAGCCCAATCTGAGCAGAAAAATACTTTGCCTGGTTCTCAAGAAGAGGAGGAAAGGAGAGAAAATTTAAATCCTTCTGGAGCTGCAAACATCTCTGTTAAAAAACGTTCATTGACATCTGACTTGGTTGCCCCAAAGGGAAAAAAGACTAAGACGGTAAATGCTTCTTCAAAGCCTAAGGGCAACCTCCTTGCCTTTTTTAAAACCAAAAACGTTAACCAGTGTGAAAAACCACTAAATCTGGATGAAGCTGCCAAACCACCCATAACTGAAGAAGTGTTCTCTGTCGCAGACACCAAATCTGAAGGTCCTGAGCTTATCTCTGACGGTTCATCACAGCAGTGCTCCACAGCTGATACTGACCAACATATGAACACAGAACATTCAATCCCTCAGCCCACTGTAACGCAGTCAGATGCAAAGAAAGGGACATCGTCAGTGTTTTGGAAGTCGGTGCTTCGTGGACCACCTGCCCCACCGTGCTGCAAGGTCCACGAAGAACCATGTGTTCTTCGTACTGTAAAAAAGGAGGGGCCAAACATGGGCAAACAGTTTTTTGTGTGTGCACGTCCTCAGGGACATGCGTCCAACCCTGAGGCTCGATGCAATTTCTTTGCATGGGTTGACAAAGCAAAGTGACATGTTTACATTAAGGTTCATCAGTTTCAGCAACAATTGTTTTAACATTTGTCATAGTTGTATGTTGTAGTTGTTGTATTTTTCTTTTTCATATCAAAATAATAAAACAGTAGTTTTATATTACTTTGAATTTGGTTCCATTTGTTCTAAACGCTGAAATAAGTGAGCAGATTAGATTTGTTGATTAAAGGTTCTGCTTATTCACATTCACTTGGTTAGTGAAACATTTGGGGTAATTAGATGTTTTCTTCCTTTTAGGCTGGGTCTTTTGCCTCCATCTCACCCTATTCCTAACAAGCTCTTCTAACACCACAGTCCTATGTCTCTCTTGCTATCTCTGAACACTCCTTCCCCCACTGTTCCTCTTGGCCATTGGCACCCGCTGGTCAACAGCACTGTTATGGTAATGTTGTGGAAGTCTTATTGATGATCCACATCTTGGGTATGGCAAAACTCTTACGCTGGATGCCCTTCCTGACGCAGCCCTTCCCACTTATCCAGGCTTGGGACTGGCACGATGGGTGTGCTGACTCTGGCTTATGGCTTCTCATGGCTGGGTTTGTTGCTTTTTTTAAGCTTCAGCTTCAACAATTTCAGGATTATTAACTTTCCTTCTTTATATATTATTACAAAAATAGTTCTACTACTGCTTTTTGTTTTGTTTTTTTGTTTTTTACAGTTTGTTGCACCAAACAAACTATTAGAGCACATTACCTTTGGGCTAAAGGACCTTTTACCTTTTTGTATTAATTAATGAAAGATGAAAGTCGTAGTCCGACAGGCCTGTGTATAAACACCATTTTAGTTTCTGTGTCACATAATATGTATGCGTTTTAAGATGTTAGTTATAATTTTTTGTGCACTTAGGTTGGTGGTTAGCACTGTTACCTCACAGCAAGAAGGTCCTGGATTCAAATTTCTTCTGTGTGAAGTTTGCATGTTCTCCAGATCTCTTTACTTTCCCCTGACTCTTGACTCTCCTAACATTAAAAAAATATGTTTTTACCCACTAGATGGCAACAGTAGTGAGTAGATGCATTGCTGAAATGAAATGTAACTTTCCACAGAAGCACGTGTTATTCACACTACCAGCTGCATGACCGTATTGCAACAACTGTTATGCAGGCCAGGAAGTTGAGTATTTAAATTGGTATCAGATGTATTTTTACCAATCAGTTTTAGGGTTCACAGTAGAAATATTACTTCAATGTGGCAAACCATTCCGTAGGTTTTTAAAAAAAAAAAAAGAAGTAGAACAGAAAGTATCAATGTCCGAATGCTCCATAAAGTAACAGCACATACCCTGATCAGTGTGGGAGTGCCTTGGCTCCTGAGAAGAGGAAATTTCTTTACGCGCGCATTTGCAATGTTGCTCCTTCCCCCATTTTTTTCCCCCCCTCTGCTCTTAGAGCCAAAGAGGAGCTCATGACCTTGTGAAAAGCTGCTTTTGGACTTGAACCAAGGAAGTTTGAACTTTTATCCTGTTACTTTTTTCTGGACAGAATACATTCATCTTCCTTCTAACTGTAATTAGGTGAGTACAAAGACTGGAGACGTGAGCTGCACGACTTCCCATTCCAAGACGGCAAAAGATGTCTAGCAAATTGCTGTTATAGCTACTGGTGACTATTAGTATTCATTACAGAAACAAGAAAACAAATAACATTTGCACATTTCTGCTTTAACCCTTATAGGTTGTATCTCTATTGTCATCTGCGCACGTGTTGGTCGTTGTCACAGCACAGAGGAAATTTAAATGACTAGATGAAATGAGAGATCATCTCGGCTGCAGATGCTTGCTTGACTTTTTGTCCCAAGAAACAAAGTTAAATGCTTAGGGCATGATTTTACCAGCACAGAATGTCACCTCACGGAGCATTTTCTACATCAAATATAATAGTTGCTCTGTTCACTACAAAGATAACACTCACTGTATTTGTACGCAAATTCATTGCTTTCGTTTACTGTTCTGATCTTCTAACCCGCTCTTTACTCTAAAAAGTAGTGACCTTGTCTGTTTTATCCAGCTTTCTTAATATGCAAAAAACAAGTCATTCAGAGATGTTAAAAGAAAGCAGTGTGCATCATCAGAAGATATGAACTTATATAACAGATATGTTCCAACATGTGTGTGTGTGTCATGGTGAGATAAAGAAATGTGGGTGTTTCTTCGTGTAAAGCTTATATGTCAGTTACATTGAATCTTATCAACCAACTGAAACAGTTCTTAGGAGATGACATTTCTAACACCTAGACCACATTCAAAATATGTTTACATTACTTCATTTAGGTGACATAGAGTGCTTAACAAATGTATTAGACCGCCTGTCATAAAAACATTTTTTAGAAATCTCTCAAAAATCTCCTTAAAACTAAGAAGTTATAGTGCTATTTATCAAGAATATAACAAACTGAATTCACATTTTTATACCCAAATTTGAGCCGGCACATTGGACTTCTCTGAAAAGTCTGAAATTAATTGAGCATTCAACCAAGCAAGCAATAACCACATAATTTTATCTCTTCGGGAATGTGAATAAATAACTGCAGTTTGGCATTTTTACAAAAAAAAATAAAAAATCAACAAAAAAGAGCATACTACTTTTTAGCTGTTTTGTAAAACAGTGAAATTTGAAAATTCACTAATAACAGCAATAATGGAATTTTAGCATTAAATATATGATTTAGATCTTAGAGCTTGTGCATACAGGTGGATTAACACATTACAGAAACACATTTGTCTTTACGTTTTAGTTTAGGTTAGCTTTCTTATGAACCTTCCATTTGGTGGTGATCCAGTAAATTTGCTGATCACTGCATACATGTATAAATGACAGGGATGTCTTCTGTTATTGATCAAAGTTAAAATATTCGCCTTTCTGAGGTGTTTGAAGTGTGTGAGAACCTTTGAAAGATCTGAAAATGTGTCATGTTTTAATGACGTGCTCTTTTCCGGTAACGCTTGAATTCAGGTCTCAGGGTTTGTTTTCAATCAAGCGCACACACAACAAATCCACTCTTAAGCACCGCCACATGTGATCAGTCTTAAATAAGCACTTATCTCCTAAGCTAATTACAATCTGCATGACTTCCAGAGGGGAGGAAAACTGTTAGTGAATATCTATTAAAGCTATAATAAAACCCATCAGAGATGACACCCACCTTTCTGCTTGCATACTCTGCAATAACACGGCTGAGCTTTTGTTTAAAGACCAGAAGCCCTTCTGAATAATGAGTATGTGGGATTAGCGGAAGGTTTGAAGTACTGACTTTCTGTGAAATCCACATGTGATTTATTGCCTTGCTATACCCACTATTGTTCACACCTTTCCACTGCAACCACCTGGTGAGAGGATCCCTACAAAGCCTCTTCAACGTCAGCAGTACCTGTGTTGCTGGTTTAACAAAGGGTTAAGTATGGGTGTTCCCATTTCCTGCAGCTCTCCCTCCCAGCCTCACTAATCTCTCTCACTCTCTCCTCTCCTTACTATCAAGAAGATTTGGTGAGACTCCTAGGAACAAAGCTACATAGAACCACTAGAAGTCTGAAAATTGAATGAATCTACACAAGGATTTATTCTGTTAATATTCAGAAAAGAAACCTAGCTTTCTGTGGGAATCGCAAGGGTGAGTTGGAGCACAAATGCGTGTCCTTTAAGTGAGTTCCTTGTACATGTTGAACAGAAGGGAAGGGCTAACTGTCAATAGTGAGCTGGTCTTGCATCAGACAAAAGCCATGTGGTAGCGTTGCTGGATACTAAGATACAGTAATATATATGTATGATCATGTTTAACCTGATATGTTTTGATTTTTCTCATTGTAAAGGTTGTCCATAGATGGGTTCATGTATCAGTTCAACATATTTAGTAATTACTAAAAGATGAACTCCCTGCAGAGGAGAAGCTTGGGTGTAAAATAAAAATTAGGACAAAAAACTCAGAAGTATTTTTTTCTTGTTATAAGCTTTTTCCCCACTCTGTGGAAAAGCTGCTCTGAGGGCCAGTGAAAACTAAAATGTTGAACAAGCAGCTGGTGCGCTGGGTTTCACACACTCTTTTGCAACAAGGCTTGTTGCAACTTAAAAAAAAAGTCTTTAAATTTTGAGTTAAAAATGTATTTTTGTGGTAAGTCATGAACTAATTTACACAAATGTTTGTTAAGGGAAGATACCAGAAATTGAACAGCTGGTTTCCCCCACCATTTGAAAGCCTGTCCCTGACATTTAGTCGTTGGTTTGTTGGTTGTGTGTGTTGGCTATGGGCCATGGGAAAGTTAGTGGGTATGTGGCTAAAGAAAGTTGCTCAAACCAAAGCTGACTTGATGCCAATGAGCAGGGAAAGAGCTACTCTGTATTTAGACTAAAAAGCGCCATTTACACAGCAGTCCTTTGTTTATCTCAGTTGCCCACTGTTATCAAGCTCAGAGGTGTATGGTTTATTACACGTTTACAGGCCTTTTCAGTGCAGAGCGTAGGACATGTGAAATTCCAGTTTTGTGTGAAACTCTTAAGGAATGGCAAAATGTAGCGCAAGACTGACCTTAGGGGTCAGATGTGAAAACCCTGAGGGCAGTTTGGCTGAAAGAGAGGAGAAGTATCTCATGACCCTGTGGCAGGAGCACAGACCTACGCTAATTCCCAGTGCAGTGTCTCCATGCCAGCTTTGTGTGGCTCATGGCAGATTAGAGCAACATAAGTCCTACAACAACATTTGTTATTTAAAGCCTTTAATTACACACAAGGATAAAATTGAATGGCGCCCTACGTGAAACCGCCAGTTTCCCGGGAATTTTATTTTGTGAATCAACTTAGCTGTCATTTATACTTTATCTATATATATATTATGTAGGAAGGAGAACTTCAAATTAAGAGTTTACAAGGATTTATGCTAAGTTTTTCTTGTCCTTTGCAAGAACAACAATCTAGTCGTTTCTCTTTAAAAGTACATTCCCAAGCAACTCCTTCATTCTCAGTTATTTTTGGGTTTTTTTTGTTTTTTTTAAGGAACCATATCTTCCCTCCAGAAAACGACCATACAATTAAACAACACCAACAAAGTCTGCTTTAGGAAGCCAGAATTAAATCTAACAACTTCAACATATATCATAGAAAATGTATAAGACGCAATGTACAAAAGCACACGACGAGATCAACCTGCACGTTTTTGTTTTTTCATAAATAATGGAAAGTTGAGAAGCCTGGTGCATGGACCATGTTGGAATGTTATGTATGCAGAGTAAAAACAACTAGAGTTGTCATCATACCCTCTGCTAGCATGAATAATTCCAAATTTAGGCAAATACTTTTTATGTGAATATGTCTATTTAAAAGTCTGAAAACTGCTCTTTTTTTTTATTTCAGCAATTACATCAACCAACCCAACCAAAATGGAGCTTCAGAAGATGAACGGACACAGCAAAGACGATGGGTAAGACTTAGGGACTGATTGGGTGTATCTTATCACACCAATCGGGTCAAAATTAAACTCAGGGACGTTCTAAATTTCGTCTACCAAATGTGAGTGTTTTACAGCTTTTTAAGCTCATTCTACTTCCTAGTTTTAGCTCACTTTTAATCTTTGGTTGCAGGTTTGATCCAATCGATGCCTTGGCCGAGCAGGAGGAGTTTCTCCCACATAAACCTGGTGCAAAGAAAGAAACCCACTTTACAGATGTGAGTGCTTCTTTGTTTTAGTAAACTGAAATACAGTAAATACTATGTAATTTCTGTCTGTGAACTCAAATGGCATCTTCTGTTGTCCTCTTGCTGCAGTTCGAGGGAAAGACTTCGTTTGGCATGTCCATCTTTAACCTCAGTAATGCCATAATGGGCAGTGGGATCCTGGGACTGGCTTATGCAATGTCCAACACAGGGATCTTGCTTTTTATGTGAGTCTCCAAGCCAAACAGAAAACCCCAGTTTTCGCTGAACTTTGTGCCCTTTGTCACTGTGTGTGTGTGTGTGTGTGTGTGTGTGTGTGTGTGTGTGTGTGTGTGTGTGTG